CCCAAACTGGCGATTACCTCATTTGTCTAATTTTCCCTCAGAAGTAACCCTGGGTAGCCCAGTCAACCTCTAGAGCTGTTTCACTTTGGCCTGACACCCTTCGATATACGAAAAAACGTAGCTTGAAAAGAAACTCTGAATTTTGTAAATAAAACGATCGTATTGCTGTGCATTTGATCCGACTTGATACATGTTGCAAGTGTACTCACACTCAGCAACACATTTCTTTATACGAATTAATAATCATTGATCGGAATTAAATTGTTAAAATGAGAAAATTATGAAAGAAGTTATTATTGAAAGTTAGTAAACTCCATTCTTTGCGTGACTTCGCATAAGCAAGAACTACCTGAGACCCCCATGAGTGTGTCAAAATCATGCAGAATTTAAAGAGAAACACCATCTTGTTCGGATTTCACCCTTATCAAATCTTAAAAATGCTTGCTGACATGTAGTCTACATTTAGTGCATTCATAGTTAACCATGGTGTCGAAGCGCAGAGAAGTGGTAAGAGCTATCATAAGTTAGGTATTGTTGCAGTGCTCTGTTATAGACATAAGGATTGGTTGCTTCATTCGCTTGTTCATTGGTTGACCTTCTCGCCACATACTTATTGAAAAGCAAGTAGGTAACTTCAAACTTGCACCTGTGGTTAGCCTATAAATGCACAGGCACTTGAAACGTCTCAATAAAAAAATAAAAAGGTAAATAAACACGAAATGTATTTACTACCAAAGTCTTAATGTTTCTCTCTTATTCATGTTGTTTGTGCACAGCGCGGGTGTGCGGTGTACTTGTGTGTTGCAGATGAGCATTTGACCGACATTTACAGGTGATTATAGGCGAAATAGAGTAGAGAAGTACAAGACTTTGGTAGTAAATACATTTCGTGTTTATTTACCATTATTTTTTTTTATTGAGACGTTCCAAGTGCCTGTGTATAAATGTATGTAATGTATGTATGTATCATTGTAATTTGTTAGCTCTAGTACTTTATAGCCCGCGTACGGTTGCCGCTGGCATCTGTATGCGGGCTATAGTTACTAGAGCTAGTAATTTGTTAGCTCTAGAGCTATAGCCCTCCGCTACGCCACAGGCGGCCGCTGCAGGTGCCTGCGGCGGAGCGGAGGGCTATTGCCTATAGCTCTAGAGCGAGCCCATTTGTTTGTATGTTACAGTATTATTGGCCACATGAATATGATTAGATATTACCAGTACAGTGCCGGCAGCAGCATGAGCCCTTACCGGGAGCGGTTAACGATTCTCTTCCATAGCATTTGGTGTGAGCTCAAGAACTTATTGTTAACGTAAGTTGAATTTTTATGAACTTTAACACAACAACTCCGAAGACTGTGCCATTTCCATGATAACAAACCAAGGATTACCATATTTATGACTAAAGTGAGTACAGTACATCTGAGTTGGTCAAGAAAAACATTATGTATCTATATATACATGCGGGTGCGTTTATATAAAAGCTAATTGTTCACACCATTTGACAAACAGTGTAATAGGTAACATTTTCAAGATTTTGTTTACTTTAGGCTAACTAGGCGCAGACATATTTGTTGTGTGGCGACATCTTCAGGCAGAGGGCAGCACTATTTATTAAATACCATATATATATCTATCTATGATATCATCATATATCATCTATCTATGATACCATAGATAGCATAGATAGCATATAGATACCACTATTTATTAAATACCATAGATAGCACTATTTATTAAATACCATAGATATCATCAAGGGTGTTATATGATGATATCAGGAGTAAGATAATATAGGATATAAGATATTATCTTACTCCTGATGATATCTATATAATATATTATATAATATCTATGTCTATACCGTATACCTACATTTATACAAGAGCGTATTATGACGACTTATAATTAAGTGTTATATATACTTAATTAATACGCTCTTGATTTGCACTATAAACGTATTTTGCTGTTGCTGTACTGCTGCTGTGCACAGTTAATTTGCTACTGATGCTGTACGTGGTTTTTTCAGCAGCATGCATGTAATCATGTAAACATATATATAATAATTAGAATATCCTGTCATTATTATTCGTGTTTTCATCTGCATAAGAGTACCACTAGAGACTGCGATATTAACACCATATAATAACGATTATTCGTTACGGGTAGCCACGTAATCAGACAAGACAAGTCCATCAATAGAAGCCGCACATAAAGCTTAATAAAAAATACCGCCGCGTTACGTACGAATTCCGAATAACCCTAATACTATGTGCGCTTGTAAGGCTTGTAGAAGCAACGTAGCACGCGTATGGTAAGTGTGGTGAGGGGTCAGTCCTAAAGACCTGACTGCAGACGTGGACCAGCGATAATGATCATCTTGTTCAATGCATCCTTGAGTAAAAGTTAACCAAGTATCGTAGTATGACACGCAAGCTGTACAGTAGACACGCGTTCATGCAGCACCACGGTCGCGTATATACACACATTCCCCAAGAACCCTGTCGTTAACCGCTGGGGCGCAAAGCAATGAGAGGCACAGAGAGGGGAGCCCGTCAAACCTGTATGCGTAACAACCTTCCTTTATGAACAAGACAGACGTGCGCTCGTATACCGCTCCCGAGGTAGGCCTACTCTCTCGCCGGCCGCGCTTGACTTCACAGGAATGAGCCATCACCGTATATCGGGTTATCGCCCTACAAAATGCGCTCTGCCGACTCAGCGATGTATGTCGATGTTACGGGCCGAACCTTGTCGCGATAGTCAGCCACCAGAGTGCTCCCGTCCGCTGTGCATTCGTGCGTGTTTCCCTCCGCGTTCCCTCGCGCTGTAGATCTACGGTACGTGCGTCCGTCCATCTTGTCAGACGATATACCTGCGGTGCACACACACACATACACAGAAACCTGCGAGAATGTGTTGTCCGTCGTCGTCCATCCCTTATCTTCTGTCTCTCGCTTCCATTTTCCTCATCTGCGGCGTCGGCGTACTGACTGTCGGTTTCGCCACCGACAACTGGGTGCGGCACAGCGTCGACAGGGAACACCTAAAGACTGCCATCGCCAATAGCGAGGAGCAACTGGGAAACTTCCACCGACATGAAGAGTACTTCACAAGAACGCGCGGCCTCTGGAACATATGCTTCATGACGGCCGAGCAGGCCGACCTGCCGACGCAACCCTATGGAGGAGGTAATTGTATAAACTATTAGGCATTTAGTGAGTATTAATTATAGCAGGCAACTTGGTAACTATATGGTAGATGATGGTAAGTATGGGATGGTATGGGTGGCAATTATGATAGACAATGGAGGGGGGTTAGCTGTAAATAGAGGGGGGTTATAGCTGTATATGGAGGGGGTTAAGCTAGTAATATGAGGGGTTAGCTGTATATGGAGGGGGGTTAGCTGTAGGAGATGATAGGAGGGTAATTATGGTAACCCGGGGGGGCACTCCCTATATATGGTATGGTAGGTATGTGCCGCGGTTATGAACCGCCGACGACTATTTACACCCTGCAAAATTATCCGCAGGGCCGGAGACGCCCCATATTTTTACATATTTCCCATCCCGAAGTATAGGTCCTACTTTTTTCCGCACCGGAGACCCCCTTTTCACAAATTTCCCGTTCCGGAGACCCCCTTTTTCACATTTTCTCAAGCACGGCAAATTATTCGGGGTCTGGGAAGCCGCGTATTTACCTCAAATACCGGATCTGTTTAGATACCGTATTTCTTGGTCCGCGCATTTTGCCCGTGTGAACGCTAAATACCGGATTTCTTGCTACGTGTGAACGCGGCTAACAAAAGTGTAACTATGGCATATAATGGGTGCCAATTATGATCAACAATGGGGGTAAATATGGTAGGTGATAGGGTGATTATTGTAGCTATAATGGATTTAATCAGGAGTGTATCAATATTGATAGACTCCTGATTTAACTACAGTAGATGATTGATGGTAACTAAAGTTGACAATGGGGTAAGTAGAGTAAACGATGTGTTGCAGCTTTAGTAGACAATGGGGCCTACCTATGGTAGATGATGGAGGTAACAATGATAGATGAGTGGTAACTTTAGTGGCTATAAGGTTTTGGTAGACTAAGGTGGCAATATCAATCACCGCGTGAATTATGATTATTATTATTATGATTAATCCATTAGAAGTTGAACAGTAACAAATAGCAAAGGCGCACGGAATCATAGGAAACAGACACTTCACTAATTCCAGCTTCTTAGATGACAAGAATTTTCAAACAAAATCAAAATTATTAGTAGTCGTTTACGCGGCTAGAACACAAGCAGGTTAATAATAGACGGACGTATCATTAATAGAAAACTCGACTGAAGTAGAATTAATAGCTGTGCGCAATTTACTATCAGTTGCTGTGCACAATGAAAGCGTGTCCGTGTAAATAGTGAGTCACCTTCCAACAATGCGATCGACCTCGAATTTTATGATTGGGGTGGGGGTGTAAACGTATCCAACATAACTATCTAATTGGATAAATAATTAAAATGTAATCTGAAATTAGGGGCTTGATAAAGAAATTGCCAATAATCTTTCGTTCTTTTATTTATATACTGTCACACGCGAGAATTATATCAAACGGTGCGCGAGTTACTTGAGACACTGTGCATGCGCTTGAAGTCACCGTGTGAGACAATTTGTCAAAAAACAACATACTCGGTGTATAGACTATATATATTGGCCTCCGGTCGGGATCTTCCAATAATTTTATTAATCTATAAAGTGCGAGTGAATTTGATATCGCTACAACATGCATGGTGTGGGGAATATCTCGCGGAAAAAATTTTCGGCATTTAGAGTACATAAAGTGTGCCTTCAATAGAATTGTTTCAATAGAAACGCTTGATAACTTTTCCATCACGTGTATCACTTTGACATAGGGAGGTAAAAATCTCTTCTGTACTGAATTCATCACACACGCACACACATGCACACGCACGCACCCACGCACGCACGTACGCACGCACGCACGAACGCACGCACACACACACGCACGCACGAACGCACGCACACACAGCAGTAATTTCGCACGTAGAGGTGCGAAAGG